AGAGGTGAGAGCTATCTTGTCCACTGTCCACACATGGCAATTTAGTACTTGAAATGTGGCTAGTCTGAATTGAGATGTCTTGTAAATAAATTACCTTTTGTACTTCTAAGACGTAGAATGAACAAACAACATAAAATATCTCTATTTTTAATATTCATTTATGTCAAAATCATAATATCTTGGATATATTGTGTTAAATAAATATTATTAAAATTAATTTTACCCTATCAAAATTTTTATAAATGTGGCTATTAAAAAATTTAAAATTTCATATGTGGCTTGCATTGTATTTCTGCTGGACAGCACTGGGCTAGATTATGGATTACCATTCCAGTCATTTAGAACTGATAGTGCTCCCCTTATTGTCCAACCAATCAATAAAATTGAGTTGGAAAACTGGGAGATAGAGTCAACAGTTTCCTCTCCCTTGACCCCCACAAGTCATCCATTCTGTTTCCTTAATAGTTCACATACCTGTCCTCCTCTCCATTTCCATTGCAAACCCATTTAAATGCTTCCCCCGACCTAATGGCCCCTCTCTAGTCTATACTACTCCTTAAATCTTTCAGTCTCCCCAGGGCCTTCAGAGATATGCAAAATTCCTCATTAAGGCGTAAACTTCCCTTCACCTCTGACTTCAGCTCTTTAAACCTCTCCTACCAAAACTCCTCTCCATCAAGTTTGGCTTCACCCAGGTCTTTGCAAGTGCTTCTTGTGCCTATGGACACCCCTGCCACTGCTCCAGCTCATCATAAGTAGAATAAGGGTTGAGTCAGAGCAGCACTTGCGTCTCAGCTCAGCAATTTACTGTTAAATGTTCAGAAAGTTACAAGAGCTCTCTGAGCCTCATTTTTTTTCTCTCTAAAAAAGGATTCTACCACTCAGAAGTTTTATAAGGATTAAATGAGGTAATGCAGATGTGATATCGTAACTCAAGAAAACCTACAATAAATGTTGTCAAAGATTTTCTGGGGAATGTTCATGCCCCCTTCACACACGTGCATGGAAGCACACAAACACACACACGTAACCTACCCATTCTCTGCTGTTGTCTTGCTTGGGCTTACATAGCACTCCATACCCTCCTCAATTATACCTCTTCTCTTTGTATTGTAGCCATTTTTTCACTCATTCTTGCCTCTAGATCAGTAGTTCTCAAAGTGTGGTAATAGGTACAGCTGATGCAGCATCAGCTGGGAACTTGTTATGAACACAAATTCCTGGAACCCATCCCAGAATTACCAAATCAGAAACTCTGGGACTTGGGCCCTGTAATCTGTGTTTTAATAGGACCTTAATGTGAGTCTGATGCTTGTACATTTGAGAACAACAGCTCAACTGCATCTCTATGGCTTGGACCACATCCAATTTACCTTGCATTGCCACCCCACCCAGTAACTATTTGTCAAATGAAAAAATTGGAAGAATAAGTCCTGATAATGATGTGAGGCCATAAAAGGATATAAAGCAGAGGAAGTGACGGTCTGATTGTTTTTTAGAAAATACTTACATTCCATAGACTCTGTAGGGTGTAGATTCGAGGAAGAACATACTAAAAGCAAATGAATTTGCTTATGAGAAAAGTATTATTTGAAAATCTAGACTTATAATTCAGGTAGAAAAATTGTTTACAAACATTATGCCTTGCTTTTCCAAATATTTCTTACAAATCATTTTAAAATATATTATTTTGATATTATATTTATATTTAATGTTTTCTAAATTTGTCAGGAAAAGTAAGTGTATCTCTATGTAAAGTTTGTCAACAAATATATTGTCTCACAAATTATAATTTAATTTAAAAATGGTGCCAAATGTCTTATACAGATTTAGTATTTGTAGGTTTTCTGGGTATGTAGTACAATCCTCATGTTTGGATTATACAAGGGAAATTTTATAGTAAGTGAATGTATTAAAACATTAAAATGTTATTTAAATTTTAATATTAACAGAGATAAGAATAGTTTCATGGTTGAAAATACGTGTTAGTATAGAGACTATATATTATTCATCTTATTTTGGATTGAAATGAAATAAAGCAATCATCTAGAAAGATCTAAAGGCTATTAATGCTCAAATTAAAAGAAAAACAATTGATATATCAACACATGGTAGGAAGAATAAAGCAAACCCAAAGACACATGACTCTTAAAAAAATTATAGTGCTGAAGAAGCTCCCAGCTGCTCCGTTTTACATACCCATCTCCCAGCAGCAAATTCTTATTCCAGCAGTTGGGGAAGAATTGAGCCAGTTGATGCATGGGCCTCAACTCAGGCAATACCTCCACATTTTCTTTTGACCTTCAAAGACCCTTTGCTACAAAATGAGGGCTTTTAGCTATTTCCGTATTGATTCCTTCCCAGTGGAAGATGTAGTTTCCTGCCCAACTCCTTCTTCCCTGCTAATAGAACTCCAATTTTTCTTTTATTGAGGCAGTAGGTGCCTGTCCCCGGAAGCGCAGTCATGATGTCATAAAGCTGCCATGGTAAACCCTTTTACTCTACCTGTGATTGTTCAGTAAGTGGACATGTGGCCCTGTGGCGGACAATGAGACATAATGGGAAGGCTGTTTGCAGCTTCTAGGAAGGATTTTTATTCTCTGATAAAAGAAAGACAGCTGTGGGAAGAAGGTCTCTTTTGTACACATTCCTTTTAAAAAATCATGTTGTGTCAGCTATCATGGAACCACAGGCTATGCAGGTCTTAGGGAGAGAATGAGGAGCATGGACAGGAGGGGACCAAGGGTTGAGGAAGGAGAGACTGAAGGTCATAAGGGAGGAGAGCTTAAGAGACAAGGAATGTGAAGGCCAGGCGCGGGGTGGCTCATGCCTGTAATCCCAGCACTTTGGGAGGCCGAGGCAGGCGAGTTTGAGACTAGCCTGGCCAACATGGAGAAACCCCGACTCTACTAAAAATACAAAATTAGCTGGGCTTGGTGGTGCATGCCTGTAATCCCAGCTACTAGGGAGGCTGAGGCAGGAGAATTGCTTGAACCTGGGAGACTGAGGTTGCGGTGAGCCATGATAGTGCCATTGCACTCCAGCCTGGGCAACAAGAGCGAAACTCTGTCTCAAAAAAAAAAAAAAAACAGAGACAAGGAATGTGAGATCCTGAGGGTGAACTGGGGATAAGAATCAGCGAAGAGAGATGAGACTTGGTGAGCAAGGCTGGGGGTGGACATAGGCAAAGAGTAGGGGGTGTTGCGGATGGTGTGGGAGCAAGGGATGGGGGAAGACTCTGAAGGTTGCAGAACCTTGGAGTCCTGTTTTCTCATGGCCCTCTCGGGCTTCACATCCTACCCATTTAAAAATAGTTGGAAGAAGTAGGTTCTTGGTAGATCTGTAAATTTGGTCCATTCAGCCACTTGGTTGTGGTCTACTCTCTGCTAACTAGCTTCTCCTCTTGCCTCTAGCTGTGGGCTCCTTCTGTACCTAGGCAAGTGAAAATATGTCGTCAGTTTGGTGAATTGGTCATTCAAGTAAAATTAATAATAATCCTAAAGTGTTGGAGTGTGGGTTAAGCAAAAATGGCTTTAAGATTCTAAAATAAAAGAATAAACTGAGTAAATTGAGCATTTCTTATGTGAAATGCTGAGACCTTTATTATAGTCATAAGGATATCTTTGAAAAGGTTAATAGCGAAGTTTGGCACATTTTTGATTGTTTGTTGGCTTTTTAAGTATTTCTTCATGTGAATTGCCTATTTATATACTTTGTCCATTTTTCTATTGGTTTGTCTTTTTCTAACATTTGTGTGAGTTTATATATTATAGATATCAATCCTTTTCCTGTGATATATATTGCAAATATTTTCTCCCAACCTATTCCTTGGCATTTAAGCCTATAATCCCCTTGAAATTTATTGTGGTGTCTGGTACAAGACTGGAATCTAATGGGATTTTTCTGTTTAGAAGTTAGACTATTTTCACAGGACCATTTGTCAAATAATCTTTCCAATTCTCATTAATCTGCAGTGCTTCTTTCTTAGGTCTTAGATGTGGAAGAGTCCATTTCAGGACCATCTATTGTGTTTTACCAAATTGCTCTGTAAATTCTTATACAGAGGTTTAATTATTGTGGCATTATGTGGGTTTTTTGTTAATATTATTTGGAATTTACCTGTTCTCATCTTTCTATAGGTTGGTGCAAAAGTAACTGTGGTTCTTGCCATTATTATTATGACTGGCAAGATTATATTATTATCACAGCTGAGGTTTAGAGTCATTTTGTCAAGTTAAAATACAAATATTGGCATTTAGGAAGTTTGTTGCAGTGAATGGAGCGTAAGTGATATGGATTTGTATATTGCATTAATTCTTGGTGCTAATGTGTAAGATGGTAACCTCTTCAGCTAGCAACATTTTAAAAATATGTAGTGTTTTATAAATTTGTCAGGAAAAGTCAGTGTATCTCTATATAAAATTTGTCAACAAATATATTGTCTCACAAATTATAATTTAATTAAAAAAATAGTTCCAAATGTCTTACACAGATTTAGTATTTGTAGGTTTTCTGGGTATGTAGTACAATCCTCATGTTTTTGGATTACACAAGGAAATTTTTATAGTAAGTGAATGTACTAAAAAATTAAAATGTTATTTGAATTTTAATATTAACAGAAATAAGAAAAGTTTAATGGTTGAAAACACATACTAATATAGAGACTATATATTATTCATCTTATTTTGGATCGAAATGAAAGCAATCATCTAGAAATATCTAGAGGCTATTAATGTTCAAATGAAAAGAAAAACTAACTGATTTCAATACATGGTAGGAAGGATAAACCAAACCCAAGACACATGACACTTAAGAAAATTATACCGCCGAAGAAGCTCCAAGATGGACACTTTGAAGTCCTTCCCATCCCATGGGTCCTTAAGCAATACAAGGCTAGCCAACACTATCTAGTAATCATTCATCATCTTTTGCCAAACTAGTTACCAAAGACCATGTGAAAAATCCCAGGCTCTTGGACCTCACACCTGTTTTCTCCACAGGTTGTTTTGCAGAAGCTTCTTCTGTGTGTCATCCTGTTCTACACCGTGTACTACGTGTCCCTGAGCACGGGGTGCGTGTTGTTTGAGTAAGTAGCACATTGTCTTCAAACAGAATTAAAAAGCTAACATTGAATAGGAAAGACTTTTATAGTTAACATTTCATATGTCTTTATGGATTAGAGGATGTGGATTTTTTTTTAAAGACATAGTTTCTTACTTTTGTTTATTTTTTATTTTTTGGTAGAGATAAGGTCTCACTATGTTCTAGGCTGGTCTTGAACCCCTGGCCTCAAATGATCCTCCTGCGTTGGTCTCCCAAAGTGCTAGGATTACAGGCATGAACCACTGCATCCAGCTTACTTTCATTATTTAAGTGAAAATAGGCAAATGTTCTATCTCTGAAAATGATAAAAGTAACAACCATGAAATGAAGTGGATAGAATCAGTTAGGACTGTTTCTCTTACCTCTTTGGAGGATGTTCATGGAAAGAAAGTGAACCCATTACTCCCTGGTCTGGTATTGAATCAGAGAAAGCTTGAACAAGAAAGGCGCTTAAAGATCATCCACATCCAATTTAAATAATTTCTGTTAGGTTGGAGATAGCTTTTGGGAGGCGAGAGACCCAAGTTCTTACTAACTTTCTGAATCATCTTGACCAAACCACAGTGTATCTCCTATTTCAGTGTCTTCGTTTGTCAAATGGAATAATCCAAAAAAGAGTTATTATGAGAACAATATGGGATCATACACGTATTTTAATGGTATTGTTTTTATGTAAGTGTAAAACAGTATTTTTTCAGGTAATTTTTTGCCCTGCTATGGTTGAATTTTGTCTCTACAGATTTTGGCTGCCAATATATTGGTTGCCTTGAGATTCATTATGTGTATTTACAAATGATTTCTTAGAAATTGAGTGCTTACACAATTTAATTTTATTGTGCAAGCAAGGAATTCTATTTCAATGTGCAAATTAATAGCAATATGCAACTATCAAAAAATAATGGTACCAGTGTTTGCAATGGAAAGAATGTTACTGAGCATGCTTGCAGGCAAGCCCATGGAGGAAGTATCTGGCGCTCACATGCAGCCTCAGCCTCTTTGCTGGGACTGGAGATGGTGAAGCTATGCCTGGGGCAAGGAGAAGGCAAGACTCTGTAGGATTCTCTGAGCGTTCAAGGGTTTGTAGTTAACATGAGTCAGAGGTGAGGAATTTGAAGTAATTAGACCTTAAAGCTTCAGGAGGCAGCAAACTGGTTGGTCAGCTGCACACAACTACAAACTTGGGTATAGTATAAAGTCCAGTTGTGTGCTTTATAGTCTCAGATTTTAGAACAGGAAGGGAACTCAGAGATTAATCTCTTCGATTTACAGATAGGAAATTGGAGCCCAGAGAGGTTAGGTGACTTGCCCAAGTTCATGGTTATAGCACCACCGGGATTAGAACCTGTATCTTGTTGTTTTTCAAGCCTCCGCTGTCTCCATGGTATTACATTCTCCTTCCATGTTTGATGGCAGGAAATACCAAGATTCTAGCTGAGATATCAAATAAAATTAAGTCCACTTGGTGGACAAAGTGGAACTTAATTGGACAAAGAAGACAATGTGGACAAAATGTTATTTGACTGTCATCCAAGTCAGCCAGTTTTTAAAAACTCTTTCTTTTTAGCTCACTTCATTTTTTTCTGCTTAGCAAGTTTTTTTATATAAATGGTATCATATAATAGGTGTCATTTTATAACTTTTTTCAACATTACATTTCAAAAATATATCCATGATGAGATGTATTTAGCATTTTATTAATTCTAACTGCTACAGTAGCTCACTTAATCTTAAAAAATATGTTATAGCACCATTTGGGTGAACCTATTTTACATCTGTAGAACTACTGGTTTGGCCCTAAAGTGAACTTACATTTTGTAGCTAGACATTGCCTTGTCCCTTGTTACCTTTTTTCCCTCTCACCTAATGATTGATCTGAAAGTTTGCTGTAACTGTTACCACAACTTGTAATTCTAGCAAGAAGAGTGAGACGTTTGAGTCAGAAAAAAATTCTATAGAGATTATTATCTTCAGTGGTAATTTCTTCCCATTTCAGCCAGTTTTGAAATGTGCCATAATGTGGGTAAATCGAATAACTTATCCTTGTATGAGGATAGTAATATGCGTTGCTTTGATGTGCAGTTACGAACTGCTTCATCCAGAGTAAACTGTCTTCATTTATAACATCTTTAGGGTGCATGAGTTGGATGTCCTGGCACCATTTGATTTCAAAACAAATCCCTCATGGCTCAACATAAACTATAAAGGTAATTGTTTTAATTTAAAATTCTTATCAATTAGTGAACAAAATGCCACTAAAAATAAATTTTTTAGTAAAAAAATTTTAAATATCAGGCCTATCTCACAGTTATCTATGTATTTTATCTGACTTCAAAAATTAATTAGGAAAAGTGCTATCAAAAATTTTAAAGTTGTAATTCCTTGGAGGTGGAATAAGATGGAATAAGTGGAGAAAAGGAAGGAGAATTCTTATATAAATTTTCATTTCATTGTATTGGGGGTGAATTTTTATTCATTATTTTTAAAGAAAAGGAAGAATAATAACTTAATGTGTTGATGTAGAAAAATATTTGTGAGATATAAAATAGAAAATTAAATACAGCAAAAGAGTTCACATAATACAATTTCATTTTCGTAGCATAAAGTAAAATACATGGTGTCAGTGATAAGAAGTCTGGAGAATTATGCAACAAATTGTTATCTCCCATTTGGGATGACAGAGAACTTTCATTTTCTACTTTGTACATTTCTGCTTGGTTTTATTTCTCTTCCCAAAATAGTATAGAACTTGTTGCAGAAGAAAAACAATAAGAAAGAATACACTAAGGCAAAATTTGTCTCTTTTAAATTTGGCATTTTTGTTGAATAGTTATTAATTAATATCTAGTATGTTCATTAACCTTATGTATATTAATAATTACACCCATGTACCTTGAATATATGTAAAATATTCTTGTTTGGGGGCTCTTCATGGTGAGTTTCCTACATCTTTAGAAAAGTAAAATTTTAATGTGTTCTATCATAAAATAAAACATATTAATTAATGAAAGTTTAGAAAATATCTACAAGCAGAAAAAAGTAAAATAAATCGCATACTTACATTCTATATACAGTAATTACTCCTAATATTTTGTTAAGTTTTTCTCTACTCTTGTTTTTTAATGTATTGTCAATTCCTTAAATCATACAATTCACTAGAAAACCATTGGAGAATCTTTTTGGGGTACAAATACGCAAATATAGAAAAATTGCTGGAGGCCAGTGAAATGGGATTTCTAGTATAATTTGTATAGGAAACTTGTTCAGTTAGAGTTACTGAATTGAAATAGAAAGCTTTAGAACAGCCTCCTCAAATGGGTATCCTTTTTTGGTGCCATTATTGATTCAATTTTGGATAGCAAAGCATATGTGAGAACGAGATACTTCGATTCTGAGATACAAGAGGTCTAACACTTTATCTTAACTTTCTTTCAGGCACTTCCCTAGCTTTTACCAACACTATCCACAAACGATTAAAAAATATAGTCCCAGTAAAGAGTCAGGTATGGTCCATGTGTGTGTTTTGGGTAGAGGGAGAGATTGAACACTCAACTGTCATTATTTAATTCTAGTCTTTGGGTCAGTCATTAAAGAAAGGGCAATATCACAGGCTTATTGGAGAAGGCTGTGTTTTTTCATAGCGGAGACCAGTGATGATCTTTTACATAGCAGGGATTAGTGAAGATCCCCAAAATGCCTGGCAGAGTTTACAGTCGTCCTTTCCTCTCATGAAACACAAACATTTGTACAAAGATATCAATAAACCCTCAGCCTATTAAATCTTTAATTTTGGGCTTGGGGAGATAAATGTCATAACTCTTCAAAGTTGTTGCTCTGAGAATCTATACTTGTCTAATCTCAGAGATATTAATAAAATATAAGAGTAATCTTAGAGACTTTGGCATGTATTTATTATGGTCAGGTTTTGTATAGGTTTCAATAATTTTGTCACCCAAGAGATCAGTTTTAGCAAGGACACTGGAAAGTGTGAGTCCAGTTAAAACACTCCAATTACTAGTATATTTCCTCTGCATCACAGAGAATAGTTTGCAAATTTCTTTCATTTTACATTAAAATCCTCCCAACAACTTTTTGAGATAAATAATACTCCATATTCCAATTTATGGAGAAGAAAACAGACTTATCTAAAAGTTAAAATCCTGCTCAACATCTTATAACTCTTTTTTATTATTATTATATTTTAAGTTCTAGGGTACATGTGCACAATATACAGGTTTGTTACATAGGTATACATGTGCCATGTTGGTTTGCTGCACCCATCAACTTGTCATTTACATTAGGTATTTCTCCTAATGATATTCACTCCCAGCCCCCCACCCCCCGACAGGCCCCAGTGTGATGTTCCTCGCCCTGTGTCCATGTGTTCTCATTGTTCAACTCCCACCTATGAGTGAGAACATGCGGTGTTTGGTTTTCTGTTCTTGTGATAGTTTGCTTAGTATGATGGTTTCCAGTTTCATCCATGTCCCTGCAAAGAACATGAACTCATCCTTTTTTAAGGATGCATAGTATTCCATGGTGTATATGTGCCATATTTTCTTAATCCAGTCTATCATTGATGGACATTTGGGTTGGTTCCAAGTCTTTGCTATGTGAATAGGGCCTCAATAAATGTATACGTGCATGTGTCTTTATCATAAAAAGATTTATAATCCTTTGGGTATATGCCCAGTAATGGAATTGCTGGGTCAAATGGTATTTCTAGTTCTAGATCCTTGAGGGATTGCCACACAGTCTTCCACAATGGTGGAACTAACTTACACTCCCACCAACAATGTATAAAAGTGTTCCTGTTTCTCCACATCCTCTGCAGAATCTGTTGTTTCCTGACTTTTTAATGATCGCCATTCTAACTGGCATGAGATGGTATCTCATTGTGGTTTTGAT